TATTCAGACCAAAAAAAAAAAAAAAAAACCTATACTGCCAGCTTAGTACTGTAGGTTATGTGGTTCTTATTTCTCCAAACTCTTTTCACTAAAATAATATTAGCTCCAATCTTTCCACAAAAGAAAACAATATGGAGCTCCAATCTTTTTCTTCCCTTTTCGGGCATCATTACTTTTTCCATTGCCACTATAATCAATGGTACTAATACGTTCACGCGCTCATGAGCGATTGTTAGTTATTGATGCAAGTGAGTCTCATAATACATTAATTACTACTATTATAAAAAAGGATTTTTGTAGAAATGTCATGTGAACGTATATCTCAATTTCAATTTGTCACTTTAAAGACAAATTTAAGAGAAATGTCATCTTTCAGAATCCATGATTTGTCATATGATTTTAACACCATTCAATTTTACATCCATTTTAAAGATATTTTAGTTTTTCCATAACAAAGCCAAGAATGAGCTTGTTTGGTTTCTAATTTCTCTAGACCAATTGAAGAATCTATTATAATATTGGCAAAGCTAGAGAAAAAAATAAATTTAGCCCAGCCCTATATAAATTCATGATTCCACCCTTGTTTGGTGGGTTGATGGAATTTGTCTTTCGAGGGTAGGTGTTCCATGGGAGAGAGAGAAAGAGGGAAGGGGGAATGGATTTCAAGGTGGACGGGTTGGTTGGAGCCGTCGGTGGTGCGCAAGGGATGACGGAATGTGAGAATTTGTTTTTTTAATTTTAAATGTTTAAAAGATATACAATTTATGATTTTTCCATTTTTAAAATACCATTGAAAATGAAAAAACTAAAATACCCTTAAAAATGGATGGAAAATTGAATGGTGTTAAAGTCAGATGAAAAATTATGGATTTTGAAAAATTAAGGTAACATTTCTCTTAAATTTTTCTTTAAAGTGACAAATTAAAACTGAGGTATAAATTCAAGTGATATTTCTTAACAAATTTCTTATAAAAAACAAATGTATGCATGACATAGCTTCATACTTGCCAACAATTTCTGCACAATGCATTAAATATAGGGGATTGGGTAGCATGGGATTGAATTATTACTTCAGAATCATTGTCAAATTTTGGGCGATTGCCAAGTTAGGCTTTTAGGCCACTTTATGTATGTTTACTATCCAAAGAGAATAATGCGTAAAGAAAATGGTTTTATTGTGTGGCTTAAGTGCTGTTATTTCTACTCATCTGTCTTATTTTCTCACTCACCTTATCTTTAAAAATTTAAAGACAAATTTATCCCTTTATAAAATGACTACACGCACGCACACCCATATATTTTTTTTGTTCAAAATCCACTCCCATCTTCATACCCAACCCACCAAACAAAACAAAATCAACATCTTTCTCTCCATGTGTTCTTCATAAATTAGGACCCCGAAGGAAACCTAAACTTACAAACTCTAGTCACACATAATCCAATCATTTTTCTTTCTTCTCTAACTCTACAGCTCAAGCCGTCCCATAATTGGTTTTTTTGGGGAGGGGGGAGGGAGAGGACGATTTTTGTGGTGGGGATAGGCTAATTGAAGAAATTTTTATAGAATTTTTTTTTTGTTTGTAATAGCAAATGTGGAAATACAATTAAAGGGTATTTTGGGAATAATGGTGGGTGGAATGACAGGTTTGTGTTTATTCAAATTTATATGTTGAGTGGGGAAATAGAAAATGGGTGGAAATAACAGCACTCTTTTTATTATGACATGACCTTTTACTATTCAATCATGCTCTAAATGTGGTATAGAATTAATTATAGTTGGCCGATCGAACACCAACTTCATTAATTTGAAGTGCCATTCGTTGGTTGTGAGAGGGGAGGCCCTAATATAGTGACCTTTTTAGCAGGGTGTAGCTTCATTTATCGACTGCTCAAGATTCGGACCAAATGATCATTTTGGGTGGGTTTGGTCTGAGTTTCTGAGGTCTTAATTTGGTTATGGCGTTCTTAAATTTTGGTTTTGGCGTTTTAGGGTTCGAGTTACTCCACTAAACCCAATCCGAATGCTAAAACATGTAAACAAAACAAGGTACATATCACATTCTAAGTCATTAGGTCGATGAAATCCAACAGTTAAATAACAAACATCTTTTATGAAAAACAGAGATTAAGTAAACTATAACATTATACTATTTTCATAAAGTTATTAGATAAGGATCTGATACATTTTCTCTATAAACAATAGGATGATTTTGTTTATAATTAAATATGTGATCTAGATTGACAGACGGACGATATAACATAATATATTGTAAAATAATAGAATAGTATATATTTTTTTTAACCAAGTTTAAGTTGGCTTCATGCAGATAAACTACAGTAGCATGCTAAGTTGCAACTGAAAATGAAAATCTGAATTAGGTCATTTCGGTTACCATCAACAACCTCTACGAACCAAACCAAATAAATTCAGATTGCAAACCTACCTTTTGGCATCAATAGGATCTTCTTTTTGGTAGATAGAGAGGGCCTAGGAAATGTGAGATCAATCAAGAACTGTCCCACACATTAAATTCAACCACAACTGGTTTTCTCCCTTTATCTCTCTGATTGATTTATCCAACTTCAATTTATTTTTTGTCTTCTATCACGGAAAAAGTCATGAAAATGAAGGCCAATAATTAATTTTAATCATACAACTAATCTTTATAGCGACGATATAAGTATTTGCAATACTAAAACGTAGCAAATAGGCTTGTAGTTTATTAAGTAGTCAAAAACAGTTTATCCGTACAACTGATGTCCTGTGTTCGATTCTTATTTGTTTCACTATGGCTTATATTTGTGTTCGGGCTTATTTTTAGGTAAACAATTTGTATAAAAAAGAAAAATGTAATGTAACGTATGTGGCCAGATTTATTTATGGTGGGTTTCTAGGCTTTGGAAAAGCATCTTCCACAAAAGGGATCAAAGAAGAAGATAATAGCGCATTTTCATGATCGCAATATCTATACCAAAATTAAGCAGCCATGATGCAAAATTTAATAAAGTTATTTTGTACTCTTTCCTCAGTGAGGAATGTAATTAAAGGGTATTTAATTTGTGTGGTTTAAAGATAATGATTCCTTTAGATGATTGCAAGAAATGGTCCCATGTGTGTATAGTCAGCAAAAAAGAAAAGCCATTTGTGAGGGTGAGATGAGGTAGCCTCTTGTCAATTTCTGTGACATCAAGGTCATGGAATATACTTGTAACGTCTTATCAGTCTAATGAAAGAAAATGACACTCACTCTCTCAAATATCTGCAAAATCTTTTTGGGGATAAAAATAATCAACTTGTAGATTAATTCAAAGTTTTGTCATGCTTGTAGATTAATTCAAGGTTCAGTTAATTTCTGAGAAAGTCATGCTTTTATCAAAAGCTAAGTTCATGCAAAATTCCATCAACTTCTCATCCCACGAAAAGAACTTCAACTTTCTACGACCAAATTTTTGTTTCTTTAATTATATTATCTTATTTTTCTGATGGGTTCTTTTTTATTTTTATATATTATTATTTTCAAATGAGTGATATCATGTCGGTAAGTTTCATATGTTACAAGGGATTGAGTAAAATGACAACTTCAATTTGATTGGAGATGAAGCATCTTTTGGAGCCTGGATAATGAGAGAAATCGATTAATCAAAAGTTAATAGTGATACTTAATTAGTATTTGATTTTTCTCTCAGGACCAATAGTGGAATGACAGATTACCTAGTCTAATCATCACTCCTAAAATACTTCTTGGAATAAAAAGTACATAGAAGGTTAATCGTGAAGTGACTCGCTGTCTCGCAAAGGAATTAACACTAATAATCTTATAGATATTGCTTGCCTCATTCACGGTAAGGAGATACTTCTCCTTCATGTGAATTACAAAAGTAGTTCATTAAAAACATAAATAAAAAAAATAAAAAATTTATGCACACATATCACACTACTATTGGCAGGCATATATGAACTCTTACGTATATGGTATAAGGAGGGAAGTATTTTCTTAATCTTATTATCAACAGTGACAATTGATAAAACTTATCTGATGAATGAAGATAAGTATAAAAACAATAATGTGTGATCAAAAAGTGACGGGACTCCAGTTTGTTCGTACTTCAAATTAATGACATGTTTATATTCTCTTCCAACTAATTATTGACTAAGAATCATTTCTTGTCATACTAATTTCCTTTTGATCATTTTGTGTATATATCACTTTAAAATTTAACTTGGAAAATTTGAAAATATATGAGTTCTACAAATCTCGGATTGCTTCCTACTTGAAACATGGGAAAATAATTAAATATATAGAAACATATTTAATTATATATATAGAAATGATTCTACACACGCGCACACACACACACACACATATATATATATATATATAGAAATGCTCCTGTGCGGACATCTGGACGTTATTATCATACAAACACTAGATATTTTGTATTACCCCTCCCTGATTTCCTACCTATTTATAATAGCATTCGCACGATAATAACATGAAGACATCCAGATAAGAGAATAACTGATATACAGAAATGCTCTATACGGACATCCAGACATTATTATAATGCGGACACCATGTATTTTATACTACATTCTCTGATTTTCTGCCTATTTACAATAGCATCTGCAAGATAATAACGTGAGGACATATAAAAAAAAAACTGTGTAAATATATATATATGTATATAATATGTGTATAGAAAAACATTTGAAAATATGGAAAATTGAAATGATAAAATATAGATAATTTGGAGTTGCCTTTCAGATTACATGTTTTTCTTTTGACAATTTACTCAGACAGATGAGGAAAGGCAGATAATGATGTATATTTGGGAGGAAAAAGAAAAGAAATCCTTACCTTCTAGGGGTTCATGGTGTTCAATGTGAGAGAAAGCCAAAAACCAAGTAATAGCAAACTAGTTCCTAGCTAGAATATAGTTTATCTGATCACAATAAATTGATCATGGAGTAATTCAAATACATGATAACAAAAATTTAGAATAAGATTACAATTATTGTATTCTTTAATTTATATAATATAATTGTGAATAATTCATGTTGTTCTACAAGATGTTCTAATAATATATACAAGGTCGGAATAAATCCTACAGAAAAATATAAATATAATCAAACTCTTTTTTTTTTTTCCTACAACAAAAGCACCTCATCACCTTTTTTACCCTATAAAAAAAGAGAGAGCAAAATATATGTATAGAGTTATATATTTGCTATCATGGCCTCACCTGAACTTATAGCACAGCTACCCATTTATGCTCAAAGGAAACTTGAGGCCACTGTCATCTTCATCATCTAGATTCTAGACTGTTTAATCAATTTCCTAACAACAAAATCTCAAACCCCCAATATTCCAAAATCTATACAAACTAATTAATAACAAGAGTATATCCTTAAATATAACATCATTAGCCGCATGAGCCAATTGATACCTTCAAATTCCGATCACATAACTCATCCGTCGATGGATCGATAAATCTCCGGTGCTAGCTAGCAAGAAAGCTTTGCTTAGCCATAAATAATAGGTACCATAAATCATCACCATACACCAACCAAACCATCTATCCCAAATTGGACTCAGAAAACCAATTCATCCCAGGAAGCTGATACGGTGTTCGAAATAGGCCATCACCAAGGGATCCTAGCATTGCATGCTGGTGCAATGGAGGTGTCTGTGGAAGCTGAGAGAGCAAGTTGGCAATAGAAGTAGAATTGTTATTAGGAGCACCATTAATCCCATCGCTGGCAGAATTATTAGTACCACTGTCCAATTGGTGCAGTTGTACCACCCTCTTGCTTGATGAAGCCCCAGCCGTTTGATTATCGTCCTGATCATTCCAGTAAAAGGATGGGACTATAGACCGCTTTAGAGGCAGCTGACTAGTCCCGTTGGACAAAGAGGCCGATCCATTGGTGCTGCTCATTATCCCATCAAAAAAGATTGGGTCATTTTCTATGAACGGCGGTCCATAATTTGTGTCAGATTTTGGAAGGTGCAGGTTCATATTCTGGTGATGGCCCACATGACTTATGGATGGTAGCATTAATGGCCCCATCATGTCCTCCATAGAGTCTTCTCTTTCAAGATCCATCGGCCTATGCGAATTGTTCTTCTTGTAAATTCTACACAGCACCCAATCATCAAGCTACACACAGATCCACCATATCAAGTCATTTCCAAATCAGATCAGAATAATTTAAACCAACATCCATCAACCAAACCAAAAGCCAAAAACCAGATTTATTAATTTCACTCAATTGCTTAATTACACACTAACTTACCCTCAATGAGTTCTTCTTGTTGCCCAAGTCACAACCCGGTGGCTTGTTGCTGGTCTTGTTATCAGCCAGCCTATACTCGTGCATAATCCAATTGGTTTTAATTCCTTTTGGGGGCTTCCCTCCGTAGAACACAAGTGCTTTTTTCACACCAACTTTCTGTGTACCACCAGAAGTCAACACCGGCTTATCAGTCCCTGTTGCCTTCCAATACCCTGACGTCGCTGCTCTGTTGGGTCTCGCTCCGTTCGGGTACTTCCGGTCTCTCGGGCTGAAAAAATACCATTCTTGCTCTCCAAACGTAGCCTTAGCTGCACCCAACAAAAAAGAATAAAGAATAAAAAAACCAAGCATAATTTAATATTATTAGTATTAGTCTTTTGTCACGAACTGTAATAATATTATATACATCCGTTATATGTAAGAATTTTGATTTCAAGTACCTGGGAGCTCCCAAGGGTCGAACTTATAAAGTTCGACCTCTGCGATGATGGCAACGGGAAGGGGTGCGGAGGTGACCTTTTTCTTGAGATAGTGGACCACTAGCTCTTCGTCGGTCGGGTGGAAGCGAAACCCCGGTGGTAGGTTTGGCTGAGGCGGGGGCTGGGGTTGCTGCTGCTGCTGCTGCTGCTGCTGTGAGCCTGTGGAGGAGTCGGTGCTCTCCATTTTTTGGTTATTGAGAGTTGAGGGTTTTTTGCAGCCAAGCGCATATTACAAATCACACCACAAACATATAGAGCTCAAAATTGTTATGGAGGTGGCAGGGGCCTACTTTTATGTATGTGAAGGGCAACGTTCGGCTACAAGTGCCTCCATGAAGGTTTAAACTACACGACAAATGGCAGGGAGCGGCCAAATGGTATTCAGGGGCAGATTAGTCATTTTGATACTGTTTAACCATGGTTTTTCGAGGGGGCCTAATTTTGTGCATGGGATGAGAGCGACCTTGTGGTGGTTAGAGACGGGGGTGATGGGTACCTCATGACGACGTAAACTGGATTGTGGGCCGTTGATGGATTGACACGTGGAATTCCCAATGTGGGAGAGGGCGACACGTATTGGGAGAAGGTGGTGGGGCTCACAGAACGCACAAAGCAACAAAAAATATATAGGCGGATAAGTCTAGGGGTGGGAATAAGCTTTACGCTTCAGATGTCATGCTTTTGTTGCGCAGAAACCACCAGGTTTGCAAAGGACCCCACTTCACCAAGAAACCATTCGAGACTAAATATTAATTGGGGGATCCTGCCCCTGCTCTTCAATTCAATGTTTTCATCATTTAGGGTTGATTTTTATTTAGCAAGTCATGTTCTCTTGATTTATAAGTTGTATAATTTTTCATTGTCACGGTCACTAAGGATGGCAAAAATCCCCTCGGAGGTGAGTCCTCGACCTTAACGGGAGGAGATTTCAGGGCTAAATGAGTATCAGGTATGGGAATTTCCAAACTTGAAAAATCCTTGATAAGTATGGAGAGATGATGGTATTGACGTCCCCATCCCCGAACCCAACTCGAAAATATATATATTTATATTTAAATAAATAATTATAATATTTATGTTTACCCCTAAGTTAACCTTCATTTCCTAATTCTTCTTAATATTCACTGAAATTTCATATTGATGTGATTTTGAATAGTTGAGTTAAACTTTATAGTTAATTTGGATGTGTTGAATGATAATTTAATATGAAACTTAATGTTATAAGGGATAGTCCCGAGACGGGGATGGAGACGGGGGATTCTCCGAAACCTATTAAACAGGGATGGGTTCGGGGACGGGGGCAGGGATGAGGATGGTATTGTCATGCCCGGCCCCTACCTAACCCGTTGCCATCCCTAACGATCACACTATTACGTGGTGTTATCAATTGATTTATATTATATAACACGTTTATGAAATAGCAATCCTGTCGTTCACTCATATTATATATAACTCATATGAATTAGTGTGCCTCGTCACATAAAAATATTTCTTCCATAACCCATCATATGTGCTTATAGCATGACGACAGTTAATGTATATAACGAATAAGGGTCCGTTTGGTTTAGGGGAACGGATTTGAGGGGAAATCATTTGGGAAATGGAATATTTTTTTTCCATGTTTGATAATGCTAGGAAAGTAACCAGAAGATATCACTTTATTTCCTTTCCCATGTTTGTTTAGGAATGGAAAACAAAGTTTGTATAATTTTCCAATAATACCCATATTAAATCAAATAAAAAAAGAAGGCATTGAATACATAGTCTAAAATATGGATAATATTGAAGAAATATCAAGGATATTACTATTTTTTGGGGTGACGGATATTTTGAAACGTATCCATACACATATCGTATAAATATCGATAATATCGAAAAATATTGATGTCGATAATTTCGCTCACATTTCAGCAATATTTTGTCAAAATATCGCTATAATATCGAAAATATCAATGTAATGGAAAAAAGGAAAGGAAAAAAAACACAAAGCATACGCACAAAGGGGATTCGAACCCCTGCCATTTCACTCATCCAGCACCTTAAACACCATGTTGCTTATGTTTTTGTGATTATACGCAGAGGGGAACTCTATGTGGTACTAAGTCACTCATGTAATATCTTACCATGTAATACATAAAGTGTGAAATATTGTAGTAAATCATTATATATAAGTTATTATGATGTGTTTAATCTTCTTTCATTAATTAGTACATATTTTCTACACTCACAATGTTAGTCAACTCGCTATATAATCAACTTAAATCAATTAAATCCATCATGCAATGCATTTCCTTTCAATTTTTTGTGATAAACTAATAGATAGTTGACTAAATAAACATCCTCCAAAGTTTCAATAAAAATTTCCAAGTTTTTCTTATAATTTACGTGATTTTAATTCAATTTTTATTGATATCGATAATATCCAAATATTTCCATCGAAATTTCCGTGTTTTTGGATTACCGATATTTCTGATACCATCGATATTTTAGACCTTGATTGAATGATATATGTTGTAATTCTAAATTGTTAATGGGGACAAAATATTCATGAAAAATATGCATTTAATGTTAGCTTATTTTCTCAAACTTTCAACTAGGAGGGAAAACAAAACCCAATGGGAGGAGGAGGGCTTCACTTTCCCCCTACTTTCCCATGTGCCAAGCAATCAGTTTGTATGTGTTTGCCCGTTTTGCGTTCACTCCTGTGATGGAAGGGCAAAGTTCCCCACTGCCTTGAGAACCATAAACTGGTTGACAAGTCAGCTTTCTTTGGTGTGCGAGCGTGCCACTGCTAGCAATACAAATTCTAGCAGACTTAGTTTGGAGTAGATAACTTGCGCCCCAAGTTACTGATTTCTGCAAACAAACGATTGTGAATTTGGGTGAGGAATATCTCCCAAGTAAGTTCTTTTCTTGCCTCAGACGGGTGAGGACTTTAACAATTTATCTCAGTATAAAAAGGCTGTTCTGGCCAGAATGGTTGATGGAATTTAAACTGTTTCAGGCAGAACTGATGGAATTTAAACTGTTTTTAGGCAGAACTGATGGAATTTAAACTGTTTTTAGGCAGAACTGATGGAATTTAAACTGTTTTTAGGCAGAACTGATGGAATTTAAACTGTTTTTAGGCAGAACTGATGGAATTTAAACTGTTTTTAGGCAGAACTGATGGAATTTAAACTGTTTTTAGGCAGAACTGATGGAATTTAAACTGTTTTTAGGCAGAACTGATGGAATTTAAACTGTTTTTAGGCAGAACTGATGGAATTTAAACTGTTTTTAGGCAGAACTGATGGAATTTAAACTGTTTTTAGGCAGAACTGATGGAATTTAAACTGTTTTTAGGCAGAACTGATGGAATTTAAACTGTTTTTAGGCAGAACTGATGGAATTTAAACTGTTTTTAGGCAGAACTGATGGAATTTAAACTGTTTTTAGGCAGAACTGATGGAATTTAAACTGTTTTTAGGCAGAACTGATGGAATTTAAACTGTTTTTAGGCAGAACTGATGGAATTTAAACTGTTTTTAGGCAGAACTGATGGAATTTAAACTGTTTTTAGGCAGAACTGATGGAATTTAAACTGTTTTTAGGCAGAACTGATGGAATTTAAACTGTTTTTAGGCAGAACTGATGGAATTTAAACTGTTTTTAGGCAGAACTGATGGAATTTAAACTGTTTTTAGGCAGAACTGATGGAATTTAAACTGTTTTTAGGCAGAACTGATGGAATTTAAACTGTTTTTAGGCAGAACTGATGGAATTTAAACTGTTTTTAGGCAGAACTGATGGAATTTAAACTGTTTTTAGGCAGAACTGATGGAATTTAAACTGTTTTTAGGCAGAACTGATGGAATTTAAACTGTTTTTAGGCAGAACTGATGGAATTTAAACTGTTTTTAGGCAGAACTGATGGAATTTAAACTGTTTTTAGGCAGAACTGATGGAATTTAAACTGTTTTTAGGCAGAACTGATTTTTTTGAGTGTCCTCTACCCTGTTCACTCCTTCTTGTATTTATAGAAAAACTGTTTCTTCTCTGGAGTAGGGTGATTGTGTTTTTTTATTGGGCGGCAAAGATATTTTCCCCCTTTTCCTCTTCTTCTTCACTTCTGGCAGATAGGCTCTCAGATAGGTGATCACTTCCCTGTTTTTTAGCTGCCCCTTGTGATGTTTTACCCGTGATGGTTAGTTTGATTCTTTTTCTGGACAGCCCCCATGCTTTCCTGCTTATCCCTTTCTCAGATTTGTAACTTGCTTATCTATCTTGGGAGAATTACCTTCTCTGTAAAGACAGGAAAATCTCTGTATATACATATATAAAGGGGACTTAATCTTCAGTTCTTCTTGATATCACGAAACCTTCAGTCACTTCTTCTATGGCAGTTGCCATTGCTGACTTTTTCATCCCAGAGGCTGCCTTTGCTGACTTTTCATCCCTGCTGACTTCCGCTATTGCTGACTTTTATCCCAGAGGCTGCCATGTGGGATTGTTCCCTCTTCTGGTCTGGACTCCCTCTTCCTATTTATGTTGGGCCTGTGAGGCCCAACTCAGCTTTGTTTGTTCTGATGGGTCTTGGACTGGATGTGTCAATTTTTGGCCCAAACAGTATGCTTGGACTAGGAAAGCAATTGATTTCCCATCCCCAATGCTCCTTTCTCATGAATCAAATGAGGCCTAAGAGATAAGTAAGTTAAAATTAGTAGGATGGTGTAATTACTATTAAAAAAAAATTGGTTTCATTTGAAAATGTTTAATATAATAGAATATCCATGGATGAACAGATTTCGTTAAGATGACATGGATTGCTATGTTTATGCATAAGTGTATATTTGTATAATAATACTTTGCAATATTCTTGTAAATTTTAGGGATATTATTTGTGTTCTTATCGGTAAGGAGATACTCCTCCTTCCTGCGAATCACAATTTGACACATATGCAAAAATAATTCATAAAAAATATAAAAAGGAAAACTTCTGCACACATGTCACACTGCTATTGATAGGAATGTAGGAGCTCCTACTTGCCTGATAAAGAGGGAAGTATTTTCCAAATTTTAATCAATAAATTCCAAGAATGTGGCCACGTGCTAATGACATGAATGCGGAATGAAAACTTGTACCAAATTGGTGTCATGTAAACAATTGTAGTCTTGTGATGTGCACATGAGGGCATGTCAATCCAAAATCTGCAATAATAATAGTATGTATCATGGGCTCAGATCGTGTTAAGATATCATAAATCACACCCTACGAGTCTCTTTTCCAATTGATGTGTTTTCTGGAAGAAAAAGTTTGGTAAATTATAACCTTTCATA